TATCACTTGTGCTTTGGGCTTTCCCGGAGACGTCAGAGCCCCGGGAGAGTAGAAGCCTAGTAGAGACATATGGTCTTTGTGACAGAATCCTCCCAGCACTCTGCTCAGCTCCAGACTGTGGCCCCAGCAGAGAGTCAGCAGAGGCTATGAAAGACCCGACATGGGGGCCACAGTGAGAAGATTTGATTTTCTTGCTTTTGGTGTCATTGGAGGGTTTTCACCATGGAGGGTGGAGGTGGGAGGGGGGAGAGGAAGGAGGAAAGTACAACATGATGCTTATTTAAAAAATACTGTATTACCTTCATCAAAGTTTACAAATTGATTAAAAAAGCCTATGGAAATACAGAAGCACCCCCTAGCATCATTGAAACAATTATGAAAAAGGACACACCGGGAGGACTCACACCCCTTGATTTAAAAACTTATTACAAGGCACTCAGGTTATGTGGCATTGGCACAGGATAGACAAATAGATGGATGGGACAGCTGGAGAGTCCTGAAATGAACCTCCACACACCATCAGTGGATTTTTTTGACAATATTGCCAAAGCAATTGGATGGGAAAGAAAAGTCTTTTCAATAAATGGCGTCTGAACAACTAGATAAACATAGAAAAAGTTAACCTTGATCCCTACCTCACACTACACACAGAAATAAGTTGAGATGTGTGATACGCCTTCACATAAATTCTAGAATTACAAACTTTGTAGGAAAACAAAGGGGAATATCTTTTTGACTTTAAGATAGGCGGAGGTTTCTTCGAGAGGACCCCCGAAGAGCCAAACATGGAAACGAAAAAACTGATAAATTAGTCTTTATCAAAATTGAAAACTGTTGTTCATCAAAAGACATCCTTAAGAGAAAAAAGGCAATCCCCAGAGTAGAAAAAAATATCTGCAAAGTGGATTATGTCACAAAAATTTATGCCCAGCTACATGGGATTTGTACCCAGAATATATAAAGAATTCCTAGAGCTCAATGATAAAAAGACATTTTTATCATTGGCAAAAGACTTGAACAGACACTATAAAACTATAGAAATGGCAACAAACATATAAAAATGTGGTCAACATCTTTAGTCACTGAGAAATGCATATTTAAATGATAATGAGCCCTGGTCGGTGTGGCTCGGTTGAGCATCCCATGAACTGAAAGGTCTCGGGTTTGATTCCCAGTTAGGGTGCATACCAGAGGCAACTGGTTAATGTTTCTCTCTCACATCGATGTTTCTCTCTCTCTTTCCCTCCCTCTTCTTTCTCTCAAATCAATAAAAATAGCCATACTTAATCCATGATGAGATGACATCTCCCTCCCTCCCTATTTTTAGAGTAGCTAAAAATGGAAAGGACTGACAATCCCAGTGAGGAGGGAGAAGCTAGAACTCTCGTAGATTGTTGGTAGGAGAATAAGTGGTACAACTATTCTGAAAAACTTAGGCAGAAGCCTACCCTTTAACCCAGCAATTGCATTCCTGGGGTTTTACAGAAGAGAAATGGAAACATGTCCATAAAAAGACTGGTCCATGAATGTTTATATCAGCTTTATTCATAATGAATCCAAACTGGAAACAACCCAAATGTTCCTCAGGAAGAGATTGGACAAATTGTGGAATATTCATGGTGACAGATGACCCAGTCATAACAAAGAAGGCTAATAACGCAGCATGGATGACTTATTTGCATAAGAGAATGCAGACAGAAAAGATTACATCCTGTACAATTACCTTCATGTGAGTTCAGGAACCTGCAACGCTAATGGTGGTGATAAAAAGAGAGCAGTTGTTCCCTGTGGTGGTGGGGACTCTGAAAAAGGGCATGAGGACACTTTCTGGAGGTGATGGGAACATTCTGTAATCTTAATTGGCATTATAGTTACACAGGTAGATAATTGACCAGAACTCAGGCACTTAAGCTCTGTGCATTTCACTGTATATAAATTTTACCTTAATAATAATAATAATGCCATAATGTCTGATATTTGAGGCAGAGGGAAGCGGGAGGCCAGCGGGGAGGCTGTTAGGATAGTCCAGGCTCGAGATGGTGGTGGGAGATGCAAGAAGGGGCCAGCTGGGCATCTGCTTTGGAGGGAGGTTCAAAGCTTGTCAGTCCAGAGGCAAGAGTCTCGTTAGACCAGGGTAAGTGAGTACATGAAGCCCATTTATTTTATTTGTACATTTTACTCTGACCCTTTCTCTTTCTAGACTAATTTGAGGCTAATTATAGCAAAGGGCTTGTATTTAATAAGACTGAAAAGACATAACTAAAATAGAAAATTGAAACCGGAAGATAGAAGCAAATATGTTTGTTTGGGGACTGATACGAAAAAGCTAAGGCCAGGAATCTCTGTCCAGTCTCCTTGGCTGGCACCTAACGGGCTGCCAGTGGGCTGCCAGGGGGCAGCGAGGGTCTTTTAACTGTCAGAGGAAAGGCAGCTCAGATTATAGACCCCAAAGTGCTGAATCAAGCTGACTTCAGTGGAAGAAGGATATATCTGCCTTTTAGAGACTCTCTGGGCTTATAAAACTAAAAATCACATTTTCGTAGAATTTGGTTTGTGACAGAATACTACGCCATAAAGGCCAAGTACATCAAGTGCTCTACAAAGAAATGCCTGTTTTAGGGAAAACTACCTTCCTTCTGTTTAGGCTGAATTTATTAAGCAGAAATGTAAATAGCGTGGGTGTAATTTAGGATAAAATCCGAGCCTGAGCATATTCCTCATACATTTATGGAACCATTATCATTTAAGGTTATCACAAACTAACATTCTGACATGGGCGTTGAGCTAAGTTTGAAGATGCCAAGTCTAAATGAAGGCGGTTATTGACACAGAAATACTGTGAACGCATGGGCCAAAACACACACGGTTTATTGATTGGTCGCTATCGGTACAGACAATTCATTATGTTGCCAATCGAGTAAGAGGGGAACCTTGTCAATATTAGACATTCTTTAATTAAGAACATGTTTCAGATCAGAAATGATTGAAGAAAGGGGAGAATTTATGTGTGGGGAAGATGTTAAAAATAAATGCCTGTGGGGCATCAATCAAATTAAGCCCTGTCTTAGTGCTGGAACTTCTGCTTGACTTCTGGAAGGGGACCAAGCCGAATGAGTGCTTAAATCAACATCAGAGGATTAGTGGCAGGCGCCTGTTGGCACTGGCCGTCGGGTCTAATAGCAAAGATCGCCGTCTCGTGCAGAGGCTGGGGAAGGAAACTGAGCGTCAGAAACAATTTATACGCCCCAAGATGGCTAAATTTGGGGTTGATTCTTTAGCAAATGTGATTGCAATTTATTTCCAACTGGTGGGTAACGTGACCCCAGGTAGATACCACTAATGACAGGGTCATACCCCTCCATCAAAGTATAAATGGACAGAATGAAATATGAAGAAAACTGAAGAGCTGGAGATTTTGAGGGATTTGCCTACTCCGAGTGGTTTAGGTTTGGCTACAACCCAGCCATGGTGTAAGGTGAGGAAGGGCTTGTTGTCACCATGCGGGGCGGGGTGATGCTCAGGAAGATCACCTGGTCACAAAGTAGGGGTGGACTGGTGACAAAGGCTGGGCCGCAAGAGTCCCAGGCTTTCTCTAGCTTAGCGATGAGGGGTAGTAAGGTGGGAGCCAGACATTGTGAGGAATCTGGAGATCTGGTTTCAGGCCCTTGTTCTGCCACTTACTGGGTAACTGTGGTTGGACAAACCTTTTGACCTCCCCGAACCTAGACATTTCCATCTGTTACATGGGGTCAGTGCCTCTTGTCCTGCTTAGCCTCTTGTGAAGGGTTGTTGTGAGCATCTGGGGGACAGAGGACACATGGGCCCTTTGAAAAAACCTGCAAATATCTTCTCCAGTTGTTTTTTATTATTCGATGGTAACTAGCTCTCCAGTGGGAGCTGGAGCTGGAGTCGGAGCCACGCAATGGTTCATACTCAAGCCTGGAGATATTTTAGGAAATAATCAATACAAGATGCACTGGGTTAGAGCCACGATAAGAGTCATAAATCTTGACAGTGTGCTGTTTGATAAAATTAATAATGCTTGAGAGAAACATTGTAAAAGCCTACAGGAGGGGAAAACAAAGTGCAGTTGGGGAGAGAACTTAAGCCCATGTGGAAACTGAGAACCATTCGAGGAAGGTTGGCTCTCCTCCTGCTGCCCCCGGGGCAGATTACACACACGTGTACATACATGTACACATGCACACAGGTGCACATACTCGTGCACATGTACACACACCACACATTGTACACACATGTACGGTACACATTACTGCAGACATAGGCATGCACATACGTGCACACATGTACACACACCGAACACATGTACACACACATGTGCACACCTTCTAAGCAAATGCCCCTGCCTCTGAAATTTTAAGGTCACACAGTAATAGCGGTTTGCCCTGCCCCACTTCTCGCTGGTGAAGCGTGTGCTCACGTAGCTTTGGGCTTTGTGGCTGTTGTGTACAGCGAGTGAGACAAGGGTATGAAGGGGGGTTTTAAACCATCGAAGCCTGGGGTCATTTAGGTTATAAAGGAAAGTGAAGAATAGTGCTCTTGCTGTGTCCTCAAACCTTCCAGTCCTCTGTCTTTATCCAGACTGTCACTTGGGTTGGAGCCAGGTGTTCCCTGTTGGTCAGAGGTCAGTGCACAGAGGCTGCGGGTAAGGCTGTCAGCTCGGGAGCGCCAGGGACGAACCTGATCAAGGCAACTTGAGGCCTGAGGGGAATCTGCCGGGAGTCTGGCCTGCGGGCAGACACAGTTGACCTTCTATGGTGTAAGAAAATCATCCTGAAGCACTTCCGTGTGGTCAGAGACCAGACGGTCACCTAAAGAAAGGGTGAAAACATTGACTTCCATAGGGTGATGGGATTGATGGGCATTGAAAAAGTGCTCTGTTTTTGATATAAAAATAAATATGTTTATTATATAAATGTTAATTCACAAGGTCAGAAAATTATTACAAAACCTTGACATTGGGTCTGTCCTATTTTCAGGCAGAGAAAACAAAGAATTTCATCAGTCGAAGCCTCGTCATAGGAGAAGTCCTCTCCACAGCAGATATGGCCACAGCAGTAAAGGTGAGGGACTGGGCGCCCGCCTCATGGGCTGACATTTGGTTTTGAATGACAAGGAGTGAAATGGGAACCCTGCAGGTATCCGTCTATTTACGGGAACAGATGTTTGTAAAATGGTACAAACGCATCCCTCAACCTTCTCTTCAATCATTACATTCCATCTCCTGTTTGTATTCTCTTTTTGTTCTGTCTCATTGAACTTTGTCAATCAACTATTTTTGTTTAATTTTATAAAAACAGGATCAATCGTTCATGATTGACTTTCGTCAATTAAATATTGTCACTGATGGGTCCATATGATCTCATGCCACTGCATTCATATTTATCTTTTTAAATCTTTTTATTTTGGAATAATATTGCTCCCAGGAAGCTATAAAAGTAGTGCATAGGGTCATAAGAACGCCTCACCCGGTTTCCGTCCGTGGTGACGCTGTAAGTGGCCGTAATGCACTAGGAGACCAGGAAGTCAGCCCTGGGACAGTGTGCTCACTGGACCAGATCTTGTTCAGATTCGCAGCTTTCACACACACACTCACACACAGGTATGTGTGTGTGTGTGTGTGGTTCTGTGCAGTTTTGTTCCATTTATAGAGTCATGCAGCCACTTCCACAGTCAAGACAGAGAACTGTTTCGTCATCACAGGCACCCTGAGTGCTACCCGTCTGCAGTTGCCTCCAGCCCCCACCATGGCAGTTTTCTCTGGCAACCGCTAATATGTTCTCCATCTCTGTAGTTCTGCCACTTTGAGAATGATACACAATGGAAGTCAGTTCACTTTTGACTGCTGTATAGTATTCCTTTGCATGGATATGCCCAGCACCTCGAAGTCTTAGACTTCTGCATTTTGCTGACCAGCTGGTATAAAACAGCCCTGCACTGTGGGCGTGCTTTCGATGTCCCAGCTCACCAAACATGGGTAACAGAGTGGCCTGACGGGCATGCTTGGCGTGGCCCCTCACGGTGCCCTGAATCCCCAGCAGAGGGTCATTCACGTGACTCTACATATGCCCTCCTTTCTCTCCGTGGACACCCCTGCACCTCAGAATTAGTCCCTGCACCCAAGCCTCCAGGCTGATGTTCCCACAGGGGAAGTTATAACTAGAACAGGAAGAGAGAATGGTCAGACAGGGAGCCAGGAGCATGGTTGGTGAGTCCAAGGTGGCAGTTATTTCTGTTCTGCAGTGTAGCCACTAAAAATATGTAGGAACTAAAAAAAAAATCCATGAGTGCCAACTGTGGCGAGGACACCCACCATTAGGTCCTTCGGAGGAGACTGGCCCCCTGTGACTTGAGCCAGTCAGGGTCTCTTCTCTTCTGGATGCATTGGCTGTGGCTCCAGAGAGAAGAAATTCAGCGGAGAGGCAGCAAATAATCCCCCCTTTCAGAAACACTGGAGGACCAGGTCTACACCCAGGACCCATCTTGTCCCTCCACCTGCCTTCTCTTCAGCTGGGCCTGGCGGATGTGACCTGGGAAATCTCCACAGGTGTCCCCGAATTGTGGGCAGGGCCTCTTCTTGGAATCTCCAGGGTCTGGCATTGAGCCTGGTGCATTGAGTCCTGTAGGGAACATTTGACTGAATGGGGGAGGCAGCCTGTGGTCCAAGCAGACTTAAGGGACATTCCGACCAGTAGATCCTGGTTCAAACAACAAACTGTAAAGAAAAATTGCATGTCAGTTAGGGAAATTTGTACAGTGGATATTTGGAGATATTAAAGAATTATTATGCCCAGCCAGTGTGGCTCAGTGGTTGAGTATCAACCTAGGATCCAGGAGATTGCGGTTCGATTCCTGGTCAGGGTACATGCCCAGGTTTCGGGCTCTGTCCCCAGTCAGGGGCGTGCAGGAGGCAGCTGATCAATGACTGTCTCATCATTGATGTTTCTATCTCTCCCTCTCCCTTCCTCTCTCTGAAATCAATAAAAACATTAAAAAAAAAGAATTATTATATTTTCAGGTGGGATAATGGTTTTAGGGATATATTTTAAAAAAGAGTTGCTTTTACAGGGGTATAGGACATGTTTAGGGATGAAATGGCAGGGTATCTGGGATAAACTTCAAGATTACCTGGGGTGTGGAATGGGGGCAAAATGGATTGTGAGGCCATCTTTAGTTCACTATACTGTTCTATTTTGTTTGAAACTTTTCTCAAGTGAAAGCTTTAAAAAAAGTTGTACTCTTGAGTGTCCTGGAAGAAAATTTGAATAGATTTAGAGAAATAGATATTTTAAAATGCTTCTCTGATCACTGCACTGTTTAAATCCCCTTCCCCAGCACTGGAGGGATGGACACGGTGCACTGGGAACAGCTCTTGTGAGCTTTGGGTTGGGCAGGGCGGGTCCCCAGATCTCCCTGCCAGCCCAAAGCAGCTGGTGGCCTCAGTCTGCTTTCCTTTTACGCTGTCACCTGAGCTGGCTGTTCACCTGAGCAGGGGCTTCAGCATCAGTTCATCACAGTCATCTGCACCCACAGGCTAGGGCCCTTCCTCTCTCCCTCCAGGTCTGTTACCCACAGGCTCTGGTGTCCCTGGGCGCTTTGGACAAACGAGGTTGTGGTCACACAGCCAAGTGCTGGGCCGGCTCTGTAAACAGCTCAGATTGAGGGGGGCAGGAAAGAGAGAGGTGCCAGGGAAGCCTGGAATCCCCGCTTAGCTCTGGAGCCGCCCAATGCCTTTGCCAAAAACACTGATTCGATCTGGAGGGACTCAAGGCTGAGAGAGGCATGGCCTGCTTCCTTTTCTCCTTCCCACGACTTGTCCCTTCCCCGCCATCAGGCTTAGTCTGCCTGGGCTGCGATGGTGGAATACTATAGATCAGTCACTTAAGCAACAGAAATTTATTTTCTCACTGTTCTGTAGGCTGGAAGTCCGAGATCAGTGTGCCAAGGTCCAGTTCCTGGCAGGACCCTCTTCTTGCAGATTGCTGCCTTCTCTGTGTGTCCTCACATGAGGGTTGGCGGGAGGGGGAGAGAGAGTGAGCGAACTCTCAGGTATCTCTTGTAGAAACACCGATTCCATCGTGACGGCCCCCCGCTCACGATCTCTTCTAAACCTAATTAGTTCTCAAAGGCCCCAAATCCTAATACCACCACATTGGCGGTTAAGGCTTCAGCATATGGATTTGGAGGGATATAATTCAGTCCATAGCACTGTCCTTACTGGGGTTACCACTGTCTCAAAAAGCGCCTGCAGAGCCTCGGCGTATCCCATTGGCTCTTGGAATGAAAAGGACCTGAATGCAGGCAGAGGTTCTTTGGGAAACCTGCTGTCTGATGGTTGTGTGGGAGGGGCCTGGCCTGTCACGACCCAGACGCTGGGATTTAGTCTCAGGTCTGGCACGTTCCTTCTTCATCTGAGGTTTTGATGAGGAGCCTGAGGAGCCTTAGTTTTCTCTTCCATGGAGATGGCAGTGCTAATGCCCACTCATAGGCTGTGTTCACATGTAAATTGGTGACACCTGTGATATGCTCCATGCCAGGCCTGGGTGAGTGCTGGGGCTGTGACCCCTGAGATGTGGCCTGACCCTTCTTCCCATCACTTTCCAGGGAGTGGCTCACTTGGGAGACTGACGTGACATGAACCTACATTCCAGCTCTAGCCCAGCTTCCCCTGCTATCATGGGATGTCTCTCTACAAAGTCCCCATTTGAAGTTTAGAGACCCCATCTGGCGTCCCCCTACTTCCCCCTCCATGAGCCACACTTTCCAAGGGTTTATGAAAGACCACAAAGTCTTGGCCGCTGACCCTCACTGAATCCCTGCAACAGTTTCACAAAGTGCTGTTAGATGTCAGGCAGCTTGGGTTTGAACCCCAGACCTGCCCATTTCCTCTGGGTGCAGCCCTGCCTGGTCAGTTCCCTCTCCTGAACCATGGAGTCCTCATCTGACGAGTGAGGGTGATGATATTTTCTTCTCAGGGTTGTCATGAGAACCAGCGACCTCGTGCGAATGGAGCTCAGTGCCTGGAAGGCGTGGGTGCTCATTAGTTGGGGTGCTCATGATTCACTTCATTGTCATATAGGGAACGAAGGCCGTGTCATTCGTCCGAGGTCCCACAGCAATGGGTAGCTGAACGCGGGGGTCTGGCCCAGCCTGCCTGGTCCCGGCTGGTTGCATGTCTTCCATCCCAGGCACCCAGCTGGACCCTGAGCAGACAGGCAGAATGAGCGTTCAGAACAGCCATGCGATGGGTGAACGGGGCAGCCGGGGATGGAGGACGCACTCTGCGGTGGTGGAGTGGCCTCTTGAGAGAGTGAGCCGTGAGCTGTCTGCAGAGAGGAACTGGAGCCTGACTGGGGAAGGGGACGGCATGGAGTTTGACCAGGGAGGCAGCGCCCATTCAGTTGTTGATTGTTGCTAACAGTGGCCTGTGTTGTCTTTATTTCCAGTGTGGAATAATTTATTGGCTATTCGGTGGTGTGGTCAGGAATCTCGGAAGCCCAGGACATGTAACTAAGTGGCTTCAGCCACTTCAGGTATGGCATGTACCTCAAATGATGTCTTCTTTTATGGAGAGCTTTAAAAATTCGCATTAGTTAGAGTGCATGTGTGTGCGTGTGCACATGTGCCTGTGCATGTGCCAAAAAAAAATTCAAAAGGAATTAGTGTCAGTCAGAATTTTGTTTGGAATGAGAATTTCGCACTCTTTTTTTGTATTGCATTGAGCCTGTCATATTGTTAACATCACATTAGTTGTCATGAGGCTGGATTTTTATAATTATTTCCAACTCACCTCTCCCTCTCTCACCAACATTGCTAAATGATCTGAGAGGTCCGCAGGTAAAGCGGCCACCTGACCAGCTAACCCCCTTCTAACATCTGGTAAACTCCAGGAGCAGAAATACACTGGGATGTTTGCAATGACTGAGAGGGGCCATGGGAGCAACGTGAGAGGGATCCAGACTGAAGCCACTTTTGACCTCTCTGCACAGGTGAGGATTCTTTCTGTTGTTATGTGGCTTTGGGCAGTAGGACACCTGCACAGAACCAGGCTCTCCCTCTGACCCAGTTCAGCTTCACACCCTCTGGGTGTGCCCTCTGGCACGAGGTGCTCAATTCACAACAGTCATCTGTGTGCTTCAGTGGAGATGGACGTGTGCTCACCTCCACGAGGTGATACCAGTCATCACTGACAGCACCTACTATGTGCTGTGTCCATCTCCATGAGTCTAATACCAGTCATCCCTTACACAGCACCTACTATGTGCTGTGTCCACCTCCACAAGTCAAATATCAGTCAGTGCTTACACAGAACCAACTACGTAGTAGGTGCCGCTCTAAGCCCCTTCTGTGCACTTATTAGATAATGCCTGTGATAACTCTTCGAGAATGGTGCCAAAGCCACTTTGGTGTCCTTCTTCACAGTAGGAGGTGAATGACGGGAGGAGATGTCATTGTTGGTACTCTCCAGCGCACTGTCAGGACAGGAGGGCACTGTCCGTGCTGGGTCTTTCTTACCAGGAGCCCGGTCCAATGTGCCATGTTTTTATTTGTTACCTGCGTGGAAATCCATGTGACAACCAAAGCAGACATTTCACAAATCAATCTCACTTTTCCTATCTTTGCTTCATATGATGAACTCCATGAGTTTCCCTTCTCTTCTCGTTAATTAAAAACTGTTGCTCAAGACCCAGACCCTCTCAGTTGCTCTGATTCCACTGTGGGCCACAACTGGCCATGTGAAACCCTGCTCCACGAGTCCCTCCCCGTGCTTTAGCTCCTACTCCCCCTGAATAAAGGAAACAGATGTTTACTTATTTCACCCGCCTTTATACTTTCTTGTTTGATGTTGGGTATCCAGAACTACAAAGGAAAAAACACACTTTGAAGTTCTTTCTAGAAATTAGTTTGTGTACATGTAAGTGTTCAAGCATGTGCATGTGTGTGTGGCTGGTCAACCTGGTCTTCATTTTTGCTTTCTTGAACGTTAGAGTCTGGCTTTTTGTTAGTCGGTTTTCCTGACCCACCAATGTAGGTGGCCAGTGTTTAGAATGACAGGCTCAGGCGAGGGCTGTGTTGGAGGGTGCCCTGCCTTTCTTCCTGCGCTGGCGCTAGTGGTCTTCAGGAGCCGGTGATGTCCAAGGTCATGATGACGACAAGAGTAAGGACCGCCCTTTAGTGAATGCTCACCTTGTGCCAGGCCCCGTGTCAGACTCCCTCTATGCAGTGGACCGTATTCTCTCACGACAGCCCCATGAACTGCCAGCCAGCTGCCTCTGTTCATTGAGCACGTGTGTGCTGGGCAGCGGGCTTAACTCTCTACGTGCCACATTGTTAAATATTCTGTAATCTTATAGGAAGATATTATTGTCCCTGTTGTACAGATGGAGAAACTGAGGCTCACAGAGGTTAAGAAACGGATTATGGCTATGCAGTTCATGAGCAAGCCTTGGGTTCTAGCGTGATCACCCTTAACAGCTTAGCTTTCCGGCAGTGATGGATGCTGACCGAACATCTTTTGGGTTTGGGTTGGCCAATTTTCTCTCTCCCTCAACCACGGTATTGAAGTCACCTTGCTGTCATTAAAGGGGAAAAAAACCTTCATCCACAATTTTTATTTATTTGTTTCATCTTATAATTATTTTTTCCACAAAATCATTTCCCTGTGCTGGTCCCATTTTCCCCAAACAGCATAAGCGACTTAGCTCCCTGGTGTGAAACCGTAATGATGAGGGGACTCTGGTGAACACCGTGTCTCCTGAGGATGGCATAGAGAGGGCACGGATTTCTCCTGTGCTTCTGTCTGTTTCCCCGTCATTTCCCTTTAAACCGTTAGAGCGTATCAATGAGCCGCTGCTCCCTCAAGGGCTGCTTCAGCCTCTCGAAGCTTTTGGTTATTTTATTTTTATTTTTTTTGGGGGGTGGTGAGTTGGGTGGTGGTATGAGTAGTTAAGATTAGGTAAGAGAGAGTTTTATTTTTATACTTTTTGCTAAATATCAAAAGTAAATGAGGCTACAATCTCTTGGGCGAAGGAATCTTAATTTTTAGAGTTTACAGCAGTGACCACTCTGCTGGTCTCCAGCAGGAATGGTGCTGGGAGCCGACACACATGGTGTGCATTATGTAGATCCGGCTACAGCGCCAGCATTTGGGCTGATGCGAACTTTCCAAATCAAGTGTTTTTGCCAGAAGTGACAAACCTCCTTTCCCAGAGCATATCAGATGTTTACAGGGACTGGTGGCCTCCTGCCTCTCCCTCACCCCACCAGAGCTCTCCTGCCAGGCCAGGGGTTTTCTGCTACTGCTCTTTCTTCCCTCGAGGTGTAAGCGTCCCCTCATCACACGGGCTGTTGTTGTTTGTTTTTTACTGCACCAGCCTCAAACAATTCCTTTCTTTGAGAAGTCCTGGCTGGTCTGCCAAGACCAGGCAGCCTCCGGAGACTTCTCTTAAAAGGATTCAGCCATGTCCATTTATATCTCTGTGAAGCCCTTGCACATGTGAAAACTTGGCCTGCGCAAACATATGTCACAGCAGGTTTTCTTAGGCTTCAAGACTGTATTTCTTGGCCAGAGGGAAAGTGGAATCTACATACTTTAAAATCTGAAACTTGAGATAATCTTCCCTTGATCAATAGCTTGTCGGTTTAGCTAAGTCACGTCTTCAGTATTGTCAGCTCCAATTCAATGTGCATTTTCCCCTGGACGCCCCTGCCTGTCCCAGGTACCTTGTATTCAGAGCCGTCAGTTACGGCCAGTCTCTCCTAGACGAAGTATTTCAGGGTAACCCAGCAGGCTGGCCAAATTAGGGAGAACCAACAGATTAAGGGGAGCATTTCCATTGTGATCCTGCACTACTGGCTTCTAGAGAGCAAGGAAAAGAAAACCAGGTTCTGAGCCTAGACTTAAAACAAAAACCCTGCAGTTTCTTCCTGCTTCTTTCTGATCAGTGTTATTTTCGGACTGTTTTGAACCGGAATCCTTGATCATATTATGGAGACAACCTGCGAGACACAGTTCTAAGGGCTTGTATGTGTGAACCTTTTGGGGGAAGTTCTGAAATGGCCCATCCAAAGCCTTAACTGAGTTATTTCTTTTTATAAAAATCAAAATTGTATGGGCCGAGAGCCTAAGCAGTGGTGGGAGCCGGGCACGGTTGCCTGTTAGTTTTGCAGGCATCAAGCTTACTGTTTCGGCCTTTGGTTAGTTGGCTGCTGTTTGAATGACAGACCCTTCTCATAGAGAAAGGGATATCTGTGGCCCGGTGACAGCAGTGGGCAGGAGGAACCAAGCAATTTTTCCCGAAGGGGTGATACCCAGCAGAGAAAAGGAAACACAAAGACGTGGATTGTTCTCATAGGGGCCCCAGGTCATCGGACAGCCATCCTGTTGGGTGAACCTCATAGGTGGGGCGCTTTGTGGAGAAGGGTGTATGGAAAGCTGAACAGATATTACTGGGCTTTTAGGGATCTGGACGTTGGACTATTTAAAAGTCAGAGCCTCAGTATGAAGGAGTCTAGAGGGAAAGATATTTATAATGGAAGAAAGTCTTTAGACATTGAAGCCAGGCGACGTCAGTAATAGCACATGTGTCAGCTCGGCATAAAGGAGGGACGAACACCTTTGTCCAACGAAAACTGGCGACTTACTTTCTTGATTGGAAGAGTGGTTGAATAAGTGCTTTCATTCCCAGTCATTTTCACGGAGGAGGTGGAGGTGAGCTGTGTGAGCCGGGTGATGGCACAGCGGCCTTGACCTCACCAGGCTGAGCCAGTCAACTTCGGTTGTCTCCTCCTTTGCCGCGAGGTCACCTGAGTGTGCGCACTTCACGATGTGGGCGTGTTTCACAGTCGTCCTCGCACTGAGCCGAGGTGTTGGAATGAGCTTCAAGAAGGGAAATGCCGTCGCTCTGCTGTTTCTGTAGGAGTTTGTGATCCACACCCCGTGCGAAGAGGCTGAGAAGATGTACATCGGAAATGCCATGCACGGGAACTATGCCGCGGTCTTTGCCCAGCTCATTGTGGATGGACGGCCTCAAGGTTGGTCACCGCAGAAAACGAGCGGGATTCTCTTCACCATCACTGACAACCCACGCACAGGGCTGTGCTTAGCTTATAAAGGGTTCAGCACTGCCTTTAACTTCCTAAATATGCGTGACGATAAAATTTATCAGACATTTAGATTTCATACACTTATCTGCGATCAACACAACTGTGTCTTGTCCTTGGAAGTTGTAAAGCTTTACTCCTATCTTTTTTTTTAACCCTCACCTGATGATATATTTATTGATTTTTTTTTTAGAGAATGGGGAGAGAGAGGGAGAAACGTTGATGTGAGAGAACATCAATCGGTTGCCTCCCATACACACCCGACCAGCACCTAGGTATGTGCCCTGAGTGGGAATCAAACCTGCAACCTTTTTCATGTAGGGGACAACACTCCAAAATGAGCCACCTGCCAGGGCTTTAGTCACGGTCTCTTTGCCTTCTTAGGGCCCCACTGCTTCATCGTTCCTGTCCGCGATGAAAACGGAAACTTGTACCCAGGAGTGAATGCAGCTGAAATGATGTACAAAGAAGGTGAGTCCTGAGGACACCCTCTCGCCCCCAGTGGCACTTCCTGCTGCTCCCGCTCCACCTGAGGAGGGTCCAACCCAGCTCTTCAAGACAGTGGGGCAGGGAAGACTGAGTCTTTTTCTGTACAGTATTGAGTGCCACTTATGAATGTGCATTGGTCTCCTCCCCTCCCAGCCTCTCGGATTTCCTGGTGATGAGGCAACTCTGCCCTGAGTTGTATTATTCCCCTCTCTCCTTGGGCTTGTGGGCTCTCAGAGGGCAGGTGGAGGCACTCTCTCTCCTGCCGCTGAGCCACCAGCCTGGTGTTGGTGCCCACCAGGCCCTTGATGAGTCCTAAGCTTGATTGGGTGGACTAGTTTTGGAGGCTACAAGTCTGAGATCAAGGTGTGGGCAGGGTTGGTTCCTTCTGAGGCTGTGAGGAAGGGTCTATTTCAGGCCTCTGTCCTCGGCTTATAGGTGTCTGTCTTCATGTTCACATGGCATTCTCCTCGTGCGTGTCTGTGTCTGAATTCCCCCTTTTATAAGGGCACCGGTCACTTGGATTAGGGTCTACCCTAATGACCTCATTTTAAGTTGATTACTTCTGTAAAGATCCATCTCCAAAGAAGGTCCCATTCACAGGTACTGGGGGTTAGGACTCCAACATATGGATTTGGTGGGAGACACACAGCTCAACCCCTCGGTGAAGGCGGGCCATTCCTGTGGGCTTCACTGGTCATCCCCAGCCAAGACCAAACCAAGCCAAGAAACAGGTCGGGGGAGGGAAAAAAAGAGAGAAGAGAGGAGGGAAGAAGGCTGTCCTTTGGTGGAGAGCCTGGTCTTCCCTTGGCCCCTTCAAGTGTTTTGACCACTGAGCACTGACCACTGCCAGTCAGCAGGACTGGGCCACAGGTGTGTCTGGGAGTGTTTTGCATGTGTCCCCTAGGGGGCCAGACTGAGGCCCTCGCTGGCCTCGCCTCTGACAGCACCTTCAGGGTCAGTGTTACTGAGAGCAGGGGGTCAGCCCAGCCCTTGTGGAGTGGGGCAGACACTGAAACACTGGCACCTTAGAAAGCCTGCTTGGTGTCCTTGTGAGCTCCCAAATTCAGGTGTGTCCTTGTCAAGGGTGATTTTTTAAAAAAAAAAATATCTTTATTGATTTCAGAGAGAGGAAAGGAGAGGGAAAGAGAGAGATAGAAACATCAATGATAAGAGAGTCATTGATCGGCTGCCTCCTGCACGCCCCCAACTGGGGGTCTAGCCCACAACCCGGGCAGGTGCCCTGACCGGGAATCGAACCCTGATCGCCTGGATCCTAGGTCGATGCTCAACTGCTGAGCCACGCCCGGCCGGGCAAGGGCAGTGTTCTAAATAGAAATATTTTCCCCGGACTGAGGCTTCCCAAGGGTGAGATGCACAAGAAATGGACCTCAGCCCTGACAGTGTCATGAGGAAATGGGTTGGCAGGTTTTAGCAGCCTCCCAGAGGGTCAGGTCACCCACCCACCTGCTGCTGTCCTGGTCCCTGTGGCCATCTTCCTTGTCTGTTAGGCATTTGCTTGACAGAATTACCCGTGTGTTGGGATGGAGATCTCGGGAGGGAGAGGCCCTTGGGTTCTGCATTCCCAGGGAGAGTAACGGCTTTCCTTCCCTCTCCCTGTTCAGTCTGACATTCTTTCTGTCACCTAGAGCTTACCCTTTCCCAGTCCCAGCAACTGCTCAGGCAGGCAGGCGTGTCCCCCAGAGACCCCCCACCTGAACCCCAAGTAGGCACAGCTATTTAAGTGACAGTGAAGAGCATCCCCACCCCCACCCCAAGCACAGTGCATCCACACTTCTGGAAATGGGCTTTGCGTTCAGGTGGAGCCGGGCCCAGGAGTAGCAGGGACATTTCTAATGCTAGCGTGGATTTGTCTCCTGCAGCTCCATCTCTTTTCTGCTCTCTCTAGGTCTGCATGGTGTGGATAATGGAATTTTAATATTTGACAAGGTTCGGATACCAAGGGACAACCTGCTGGATAAGTGAGTTCCTCCTTAGCTCAGATTTACTGGCTGTATGATCTCATTGCTCCCCAGCCCGGGCCTGGCTCTTGGTATCATGGGCTGCATGCCAAGACTTTGTTCTCATATCGCTCCTACGGGGTTATTGACAACCAACTGGAAAATGTACATAAACAAATAGAAAAAAATGAAAATGATCCAAGATGCTATTACCCAGACATAGTGTGTGTTATACTTTAATGTATAACTTTTTAGACTGTTCTCCATGGTGATACACTATATCTAAAGAGAGAAATATCTTTGATTTTACTGAATGAGATCCTCTCATAAATTGTGTTCTTTATAAGTTGTAATCTCTGTTTAACATTATATGTAGGATGTTCCTGTGCAACTATAAACACACGTGCATGGTCATTGCTAACTCTATTGTGAGAGACTGTTAATTAAATTATCTATAATTTATGTACTCAATCCCTATTGTTGGGTATTTAGGTTGCTTGCCTTTAATTTTTTTCTATCATATATGAATGGGTGTTATTGTCTGCTTTGGGGGGTGGTAGCAGGTAGGACACTACCTTTCAGTGTTGGAGGTTGTTAAAACTAGCACTACCGAGTGGACAGTGTCACAGGTGCTCAGTGTCACTTCCCAGCCTCCTCAGTCCAGGTGGTTAGACAGGTGAAGGTGGCTTCTCCAGGTGCAGTCCAGGGGCTCACAGTGCCCTTCACAGAGGCTCAGAAACACCAGTTACTTTACTTTTCTCAGCAGCATTTCATGCATCCAGTTACAATCCTGGGCCACAGCCACACTGAAACCTGCAAAAAGGCTGCAGTAAGGCTTGCTCCCGCTTTCCTATGGGTTTTCCTTTTATGCTTCACTCATTCTTGTTGCTTACAAGTTCTTGTCAGCAGATAAATGTCATGGATGCCAAAAGTTTAGGAAAAATGTGGGGGAGCCCTGGCTCATGTGGCTCAATTGGTTGGGCAACATCCCATGCACCAAAAGGCTACCAGTTCGAATCCCGGTCAGGGTACATGCCTGGGTTGCAGGCGTTGTTCCCGGCAGGGGCTGTGCAGGAGGCAGCTGATCAATGTTTCACTCTCACATCGATGTTTCTCTCTTTCTCTAACCCTCTCCCTTCCTCTCTATCTAAAAATCAATGTAAAAAATCTTTAAAAAAATCTTGGGAAACAAACTTAAAATGAACCCAATTCTGTTTGTTAACTTCCCTGCCCCCTACCTTTGGTTGTGCATAACAAAGGCTTCTTTGCAGCTATCCTGGTGAAGCCCTTGGGACCCCCCTCCCCAGGAGCTGCCAGTGCCCATGACCCCAGATGCCTGCACATTTCCTGATCACTATGGCATCACTCCACTCCGAGATGGGAGGAGGGCAGCAGAGCTACAGGTGTGGCTGCTCTATATTTCACCCACCCTCAAGGGGTCTCAGTGGGCTGGACAGCCCTCTGTCAGAAGCTGGACCCAACCGACTGGCTTAGCATTTATCTAACATACTAGAGATTAGAAAGTAGATTAAACCAGAAAGAAAATTGATAGGAAGCTACATAGTCTATAGAAGATAGGAGCATACGTAGAATATTTTTTGGTAAGTAAGATTTGATTTTAAAGCCATCCCATCGACATTTAAGCTGCCTCTCCCTCTCCCCCTACACACACACTGTGCAGAGCAGCAGCAGCAACACAGATGTTTTGAGGGACGAGACCTGCTTTGGGGTGCTGCTTTATCACTTGATTAAAAATGGGCCAGTAAATAGATGTAATGAAGTCCCTCTTAAGATCCCAGTTGTCTTTTTTTCTGCAGAAATTAAGAAACTTTTCCTAAAATTTGTATGGAAACGTAAGAGACTTAGAATATCAGTAAGAATCTTGATAAAGAACAAAGGTGGTGGACTCACACTTCTGATTTGAAAACTTACTACAAAGCTACAGTAACCAAGACAGTGTATGGGCATAAGGAGACACACACGTGCACACACACACACAGTGGAATAGGACAGAGAGTCTAGAAATACATCCTTACATTTATGGTCAACTGATGTTCAACAAGGGCGATGACAATTTAATGGGAGAAAACTTTGCGACATGTGGTGCTGGGACAACTGAATATTCACATGCAAGGGTATAAAGTTGGACCTTTACCTTACACCGTATAGAAAAGGTAACTCAAAATGGATCACAGATCTAAGCGTAAGAGCTAAAATTGTAAAACTCTTAGAAAAAAACGTAGGTGTAAATCTTTGTGACCTTGGTTTAAGCAATGATTTATTATTAGATACGATACCAAAAGCACAAAGCAGCCCAATAAAAAAATAGATAAATTGGACTTCATCAAAATTAACAAACTTTTGTGTTTCAAAAAGAAAAAAGACAACCCACAGAATGGGAGAAAATACTGGCAAATCACATATATCATAAGGCCCTAGTATCCAGAAACAAAACTATTACAGTTTCACAATAAAAAAAGACATGACCCAATTAAAAAACGAGCAAAAATCTGATTAGACATTTCTCCAAAGAAGATATACAACTGGCCAACAAGCACAGGAAAGGATGCTGAACATCATTGTTATTAGGGAAATGCCAATGAAAATCACAGTGGAAGACCACTTCACGCTCACTTGAGTCTCTATAATAAAAGAGACAGACCATAACAAGTGTTGGCAAGGATTTGGAGAAATTATAACCCTCATACATTGCTGGTAGGGATATAAGACGGTTTTGCTGATTTGGAAAAGACTGGCAGTTCTTTAAAACTTAAGTTTTCATATAACCCAGCAATTTTACTCCTGGGTATGTATGAAAACATTGTCCATGAGAGAATTGAAAACATCTATCCACATAAAAAGTTATACACAAACGTTCATAGTGTAATTATTCATAATAGCCAAAAAAGTAGAAACAACCTAAATATCCATAAAATGATGAATGGATAGACAAAATATGGTAGATCCGTACAATGGAATATCTTTTGGCCATAAAAAACCATGAGGTACTTATATACATGCTACAACATACATGAAACTTGAAAACAATGTGCTAAGTGACAGAAGCCAGACACAAAAGCCACGTATTGTATGATCCTGTTTATGAGAAATGTGCAGAATAGTCAAGTGCATAGAGATAGAAAGTAGGTCAATGGTTGCCAGGGCCTGGGGGGCGGGGAGTATGGTGTGAGGTTTCTTACTGGGGTGATGAAATGTTTTGGAATTACATAGTGGCAATGGTTATACAACTTTGTGAATTTACTAAAAAAATCACTGAATTGTACACTTTAAAAGGGGTTTTTTATGGTATGTGGCTTATATCTCAACAATGAAAAAGTGGATTGATGGGTGGTCTTCACACTCAGGGTCTGGTGTTGGTCTGATGATGGCGGTCCTCATGCTTGTCTTTGTCAGGGCCACTCCTGAGCCCCAGGTTGACAGTGGCAGAGAAGCTGCTTTTCTCTTTGTCAGCATCTTCTGAGGAGGCACGTCCCCTGCCCCCTCCCTGCTGTCTCCTGGGGAGGTTGCAGGATGTGGAGACTTTCCTGTGTGTGTGGGCAGATGGGAGCTGCCTCACCTCCTTGCTGGTGGGGCCATGTTCCTCTCTTTTGTTAACCCCACCTCTCTTTCCACTGCTTCTTCCCCACCACAGGTTCGGTTCGGTGACTCCAGAGGGGCAGTACCGTTCCCCTGTTAACAACAAGAGTGCAAGATTCAACGCGATGCTGGCAGCACTGACCCCTTCGAGACTGGCCGTGACTTTCCAAGCTATAGGCGCCATGAAGGTAGCAGTTGATGCTGATTTAACTTACCTCACTGTTCATTCCCTGCGTGTTCATTCCCAGAGTGGGTTATAGTTCCAGGAGCTGAGCTTCCTGAGCCCCAGCTGGTGTAACATGGCCGGTTGCTAGGTCGAGACCAGAGGTGCCAGTTGGCCACACACAGAACACTCCTGCACACCGTTCCCAGGGGATCTGCCTGTGCATCTGCAGCCCAGCTGTGTGTTGCTGATCACAGTGGGCGTTGCATCGGCACTGTGGCAAGAGAGCCACGGAAGATGACTCCGGGAGATTGGGTGGTTCAGAACAAGCACGCCTGCTGGATGAGCTGCCCCGTGTGGATGAGGCTGGCATGTCTTGGCTGAGCTCACTGCGGAGCGCTGGTGCTCACGGGGCCATTTGGGGTGTGGCATCAGCATCGCAGGCTGGAGTCTGTGAGGCCAGACCTCCAAAGGCCATCTCTGCCCTCTTCCCCCACTCTCCCATATACTGGTTTGGAAAAAGTGGCCAGGAGAGAAAGTTTTGGAAGGCTCCCTCCTCACCCTCAGGATTCAGCACTGTGCTCTCCGGGCCCTCTCTGTCTCTACTTGAGAGAAAAGCCTGCTTTGAGCTCCATTGAGCTTGGGGACGCTGGAAGAAAATGAAGATGTCCATGAATACACCTTTGTGGCTTGATCCAGCATTGCCATTACCAGGAAATAAATTTCATTCACCTGATTCCAGGCCTGACATGAGCACACAGTCTTCTGAATAGTAGGAATAGTCTTCTGTATCCACTTCTTCCAGATCTGCCCTGTTCACAGGAAGCCTCCCAGACACCAGCTTCTCTGGGTGGTGCCCTTCCTGCCAGCGGGCACAGCTGTGATGCTGAAAACCCGCTCAGTGCTGAGCCAGTGACCTGACAACCCTCCCTGGGCACCGCCCCCTGTGCCTGTGCTTCAATGGCTCTTGAAGGGGGTGGGTGGATGTGCAGTTCTGAGGTCCCGTGTGAGGGGTGGCTCGGCCGGTCCCCTCAGCTGGACCGTCTCGGGAACGAATGAGGCCCCAGGAGAGGCTTGTTGTGCAGGCGCGGGGTGAGGCCAGGTTGGTCACATGGAGTCAAATGCTGAGGAAACCAACTTCTTCGAGTCTGTAAGAGAAGCCATTTCAGGACTCCAGAAGGAGGCAAAGGGAGAGAAGCCAGATGAGCCTATAATTGCACCGTAGAGAAGGTGGGACAGAAGTCTGATCCAGGGTTGCGTGAAGCTGTACCTGCGCAGGAGCCTGGCAGTCACGGGAGCCTCATAGTCCCCGTGAGGAGAGTCTGGGAGAGCGCAGGCAAGCACACACCGGCAGTGGCGACAGCCTGCGGAGGGCTGCAGTGTGTACCCACAGCCCGTGTGCTTATCCAGGCTGGTGGCGGGTCCCTCGGGGCAGGCGTAGGGAAGCGGGTGCCTCCCAGCAAAGAGCTGATGTTAAATATCCCCAGGTCTGGGGCGGTGGGGTGGGTGCAAGGAGAGGAGACAGAATCGGCGATTTTTAAAAGGCACCCGTTCTCTAGTCTACTGGAGGTTATTGAGGGGCCAGCCCCTGCCCACCCCAGAGGCTCTTGCAGGGCCCCATCGGGATCAACTCCTTGTTGGGTGTCTGACACACGTACTTTCCTTCCTGGCAATGTGGAGGCCTTCTCCCAACCATGGGCTCTGAAGCCAGAGACCCCGGGCTCCAGTCTCAGCCTGGTATGACCAGTAGTGGGTTCATGGGCAAGTCAGTAGCCCTGTCTGTCTCAGTTTCTTCATCTGTAAAATGGGCTTTCTGCTCATGGTGAGGCGTGAGTGAGGGGCTGTGTGCTGCACTGGTGCAGAGCAAATGCTCAATAGCTCAGGGTTTGTATTTATGTGATGGCTGCTGCTGCTGTTACTGGGAAGATTAGAGTTGGCTGTCGGAAAGGACTAAGTAGGCTTTTCCATGAAACAAATGCCTGGAGTCCTGGCCTCCAGGTGCAAGGCAGTCTGACACTTTCGCAGAGGCACAGAGTGTCTCAGATTCCTGGGTACCTGAAGTAGAACTCAGTGGCCACCCCCCGCCCCCCAGTTGGCACCTGCCCTGCCCAGGAGGTGGATTTGCAGGAGACGGGAAAACCCTGGCACAGCCTGTCGGGCCTGGACCCTGCACGGTCGGCCCTGACGGACAGCGACCCTGGCCACCGTGACCTCATCGCCAGCGTCTGGGAGGATGATCTCACCGGCCTTCTTGGCAGCTCCTCCTCTCCTGTGGCTCAAACATATGACAGATGTTCTCTGGGCTGAAACCTGAGCCGGTCCTGCTTGTTCTGCTCTCACCGATGAGTGAAAAAATGGATCCCTTTCTCTGACGTGCATTCCTTGTGTATTAGAAAACTGTCACCGTGGCTCCCCACAGTGACATTCATTCAAGGCTGAGCATACAGAGTCCTTTTAAACTTTGCCCAGATGTCTTACTTTTCATGGTTATCTCTCATTTCCGTAGCATTTCTCAGTACTTTCGGATTTTCTCTTAGAGGCTTGCCATAACAGCCGTCCTCTAATTTGTGTCCAAAGTGCCATGCCAAATTAAATGATTAGCAGGAACAAAAGGAACAGGAAACTAAGATGTTTGGCAGGGGTGGGAGGTGGGGGCAAGGGGAGAGGCTGGGCGGCCCTTTCTGAAGGGGAAGGAGGCTGGGGGGGAGTCACTGTGAGTTTGGAGGCTGTGAAATGTAAACGCAGTTAGCCCATTTTCTCGATTCTCCCTAATCTTTTACTTTATTATTATTTTTAATCCTTACCTGAGGATATGCTTTGTTGATTTTTGAGAGAGGAAGGGAGAGAGAGAGGGAGAGGGAAACATGGATGTGAGAGAGAAACATCGATCGTTTGCCTCCCGTATGTGCCCTGACCCGGGATCGAACCTGCAGCCTTTTGGTGTATGGGATGACCCTCCAACCAACTGAGCCACCCGGCCAGGGCTCTCCCTAGTTTTTTAAAGTAGACATTCCTCAGGAACTGGGTTTCTGATTCTGCAGATCTGGGGTGAGGCTGAGAACCTGCTTTCTTAAGTTCCCAGGTGCGACTCATGTTACTGGTGGGTCTGTGCTTGGAGAACCCCTGCACAGGACAGATGGATACAGTTCTAAATCCCTGGCACCACCCCAGCCACCTCTCACCCTCTGTGGCCTCCCAGATCCTCCAGGGTCAAGGCCCAAGTTCTCTCCCAGTCTCCGGCACCTGGCATTACCTGTTAACCCTATGCCCTTCCTACAGGCTGCTGTGCTCCCTGCAGAGCCCACCTCCACCTTTTCAGGGGTAGTTTTCATGTCCATTTCAGAGCTCAGGCAAGTGTTCCATCTTCAGAAAGGTCACAGTCTGCATGCGGTCCCCCTGTCATGTTCCCAAGGGACTGAACCCCTGCCCCTGAGCTGCAGAATTCATTATGGTTATGACCAAGTAAAACTTGCTGGCTGAGAAGCTCCCACAGCCAGGGAGCTTCCGACACAGGTCCAGCACATAGTAGGAGCACAGAAAATAGCAGGTGAGAGAGTGAATGAGGGATGACTCAGAATTCACATGCGAAGCACCTGGCATCATTCTTTTTTTTGAGTTTGTTAATGCTTACCCAAGGGTATTTTTTCCATTGATTATTAGAGAGAGTGGAAGGGAGGGGCGGGGGGGGAGAGAGAGAGCGAGAGAGATCGATTGGTTGCCTCCCGCGAACCCCAATTGGGTCTGGGGATGGAACCTGCATCCCAGGTATGTGCCCTTGACTGGGAATTGAACCCGTGACCCTTCAGTCCATGGGTCGATGCTCTAACCACTGAGCACACTGGCCAGAGCCAGCTGGCATCATTCTTAGCAAAAGCAAGTGCTCAGTACATCTTCGTGTGCCCTGCACCCCAACCCTCATTCCTTCCCGGGGTGACCGGGAGGAAGGACATTGTTACCTCTTCCTTCTAACTGTGTAGCCCCTCCGCCCAGAACAAGGGGTCTTCTTTTTCCGTTCCTCTCTGTTGTCCAGTCCCGGGTACTACGCTTCTTGTCTACTTCATCTTTCTTGTCTTATATCCTTCAGGTCTGTGAGGAGGCCCTGTGGTCACCCTGTTTGCAGGTGGGAGCAAGGCCCGGTGCTCAGGGTGCTGCCTGGGGCTGTGTACCGCATCAGGGCACCGGTGACGCGTGGGGCACCCTGCAGGGTCCGCATGTGGGGTACAGATCAGTACTGCCTCTGGGCACGTGGGGTGTAGGAGGCGAAACACTTATCCGGTGCGGGGCCCAGGGACTGAGCAGACCACGTCCACCCAACAGGTGGCTGGGAAGCACTGTTTCTGCTCCTCTCATTTCTTAAAGGAAACGACCAGCTGGATTTTTTTTGTCTCACCAGCTTTTGGTAACTCTGCCGCATGCTTGGTGAGGTCATGGTGGTGAGGAGAGGCTTGGATCCCCTCTGGTGCTGGACAGTAGGCCAGGTGAACCTGGGGGACAGCAGACAGCAGGAAGGGTGTTTGGGCCTCCCTGCAGAGGACAGATGCTGGGCGTTGACATGACTCTGTTCTGTCAGGCGAGGCCACCCCCCCAGCTGTGTGCAGGAAGGAGACCTCACTGTGATGGCCCCCGGGACAGGCCCAGGGTCTGCTGCTGTGGGTGGTGTAACACTATGGTGAAGTGGACCTGGGGCTTAATTTCAATTTCTCTGAGCTTTAGTTTTTCTCATTGTTAAAAATGAGCGAAAAAGACAACAACAAAAAAAGCCATCTCCTGGAAACATTGTGAAAATTCTGTGAGTTAATGTATGCCTTCACCACCATCACTGTTGTGAGCAGATAATACTTATTGGGCCCTTACCATAAGCCATGCCTATAATAAGTGCTTTACAGGCATTAACTCATCTCCATTGGTTTACCTGTGTATCTTACATCCAGGGAAACCTATGCAAGGGAAAGAAAGGAATTTGCCTGAGGTAGGCACTGAATGTGTGGCCTTTGATCCTGGTGGTCCTTGTTAAGGGAGTGAGTG